AAAAGCATAGTATGTATAGCGTCATTATTGCTGGCAGTCGTATTTTGCACGATTTCGTGTGAACGACCTGAAATCAAGCCTGAGCAACAAGATATTCCCGAGGAGGTTCCTGTAACAACACCTGCTGACAGGTTTGTGGGAACGTGGGTACGATATTGGGAATCAGATACAAAAGATACCTTAAGGTTTTCAAATGACGGAATCTTTGTTTATTCGTTGGGCGATTACAATTCCGATGGAAGTGTTTACACCGATGAATATTACTACGAGTGTTCGGATAATTTTCTTTTCTATTACAAAGATCTTTCCAGTTATGGTTTCCAAACTCATTATATTAAGTTCTATGATAACAACACCGCCTTTACACTCTATAATTTCACTTTGTATCCAGGAGTTCAACCCGATATATCGTATGACGTTACTTACAAAAAAATAAATTGATTATGAAAACGAAAATTATCCTGTCTCTTTTTGTGGCATTACTATTCGGAGTTTGTCATCTTTCCGCACAACAACAAAGTTTGTTCTATTTTTACAAAGGGAATCCTATCCCGCTGAATGTCAACACGCAGCATTTTCTGGTTTATGCGGATGCGAGCAAGATATCAAAGGAAGTGTTTGAGAAAGAATATCAGGTAAAAGAATGGATAGAAGATGGCAGTTGTGGCATTTTAGAGGCGCAAGTGCATATTTGTAACGGAAACTACGATAGCATTATTAATGTTTTAACGTCAAAAGAATACGTTATTGACATTGAACCAGTAGTAGGTGATAGTCTGTTGACTAGCACTTCCAGATTATTTTACGTTAAGCTGCATGATGCACAAGACTATTCGCTGCTTAGTTCCACGGCACAGAGTTTAGGTGCAGAAATAAGAGGGGAGGTGGATTTCTTTGATAATTGGTATGAACTAAGAGTAAACAAAAATTCTGCTGGTAATAGTATAGAAGTAGCAAATAAATTTTGGGAAACAGGATTCTTTGAAAATATTGACCCTGGATTCATCCTTCATTTTGAACCAACATCGGGTACAGTTTGTGTCACTGATTCTCAATTTGACGATCAATGGGGAATGCAGTCCATTAAAGCATGTTCCGCTTGGAAAATAACAACAGGAGATACCACAGTGAAAATTGCCGTAATTGATAAGGGTATTGATACAAACCATGTAGAGTTTGACAGCACCTATATTGCATTTTCTTATGATATGGACACTCATTCTTCACCAGGACGTTTATACTTCAATACGGAAGGCGAAGAAGAAAGACATATTCCTCATGGTTCAGTTGATATTTATCACGGCATTCTTGTCAGTGGTGTTATTTTTGCAAATCACAACCGCCATAAAGTAGCGGGTATTTGTCCAAATGCAGGTCTTATCAATATAAGTTGCTCATTTAGTGGAAAGGATTCATGTGTTGCCAAGATGGCGCAAGCTATCCAAATTTCTGTTTCAAGAGGTGCAAAAGTGATAAATAATTCATGGAACTGCAAGCAAAGACCCAATAATCCGACAGTATCCAGTATGCTCGAAGGAGCTATTGACAATGCCCTTAATAATGATTGTGTAATTGTATTCGCATCAGGTAAAAACGGAGAAGATTCAGTACAATATCCTGCTCGTTATAGACCTGAGATATTAACTGTGGGGGCAGTTAATTATCAAAATGCGAGATTATCCTGCTCGAATTTTGGTTTATGGTTGGATGTTGTAGCTCCAGGGGTAGATATTGTTACAACACACAATAATAATAGCATTGACACTACATACGGGACTTCTTTTTCTGCCCCTCATGTTTCCGGTGTTGCGGGATTAATGTTTTCTGTAAATCCGAA